AAATTTTACATAATTTTACTAATTTCAAATTAAATTACTTAAAATCCTTCAAAATTAAATTATTTCTAAATATTTTATCAACTAATTTTTATTTTCATTCTATATATCCCTCTATATTTATATCTCTTAACTGCTTTTCCTGTAATAGCTTAGATACTTTTTCCTACTAGCATACATGTCCTAATAATACTCTTCTAATTCAAAATATCAATACTTCTATTCATAAAATTATCTCTAATGCTAGCCTCAATTTTACTTTATATCAACTTGACAACCTAATATACATTATTTCCTCTCACCCTTTCTTCAATCTCTTATCTTCTACTTTATACCCTTACTCACTCCACTCTACATTTAAAAGCCTCATCCCCAAATCCTTAATCCAATCTCTAAACTTCTTCAATATTTCTTACTCTCAAGCCTTACAACTAATTATACAAATACTTCTTAAAATTTCTGATCTTACTTATAACAACATATGGATTTCATATTGTACAAACTTCTCATATTAGAAAAAAGTCCACTAGATTCCTACTTGCTTTATATCTAATACACTACTTCATCCCTTTTCACTTCAAAATCATAGAAGAAACAGAACTATATCTACCATCAGCTGCCCTTGTAGCTTCACTAACCACTTATATTCTAAATCTAATATCTGTTCTCCCCTAGGACAGGCTTCTTTAAAAATAAGCATTTGGTCAATTTGCATATTGTGAACTGCGGAAACAAACCTCGGAAGCACGTGGAAAATTGGCAATCGAAGTGGCGCAGAAATAGGTTCACGGATACGACGATCTTTTACCGAAAATGGGTTTCTCGGCTGTATACAGTGTATTAGTTGTTTAAACAATCAATTTAAGTGATAAATCAAGGATAAGTTGTATAATGTATACTAAGTAAAAGAAAGTATATAATAAAGGCTTCTCGCCCTTGAGGGAAGATATCCTTGGTGATTCACATAAATCCGTTCTCAAATAACTCTATACCTCATACACCCGATAAATAAAATACTTGACCCTGATCTACTGCTTAAGTGACATAAGTAGTAGGATCGTTATTTTCCTGTGCACGTGAAAATTGCAAATTGTACCGAAACTCTGTCCGGTTGATTCTCGACGTACTGAGATCCTCCGTGGTTATTATTTTCAACTGTCTCGACGGACTGAAGATAGTTGTGGTCGTTGTCCAACTCTCCCAACGTACCGTGGATTGTTGTGGTTATTGTGTTCCGGTTTGAGTCCAAGAGGAAGAATTCAAGCCGTGGTTATCGTGTGTAATCGTTTTGAGTTAAATTAAAGTTTTAGTGTGATATCAAGGTTTAAACACAAGTGGAACTTATACCTACGACACCAAAATCACCACTCGCCAAATCTAAACGCCTCTCTTCGACTGAGCCGATCGTAGGTTACACAGCACATCGGATCGATTAGCGGCAGACTCGCCGTTTTACAGTCGTCAATATCAATATTTCCTTACAGTACGCACAGTACTGTACGTACGTGGTACATCACTAGTTCACTATATCTAAACCTCCAATTTACGGCAAAAAGCATGTTACATCACTCGGAAATTTTGTGCATGCTATAATGAAAATATAGCAAAAACATAACAGATAATAGTATTACTTACGCAAATATCTACGCATGTACGCACGTACGTACGTATTGTAAGTAGTACGTGCATACGAAATCATTAACAGATAATGGTTTATCGTGATTCGCACTTACTTTCACACTTATCTGACGCTTGCGCAAATCTAAAGAAATATAAGAAAATAAACGCTTTAAATTCCTGTTCATATGAAGAAATGGAGTTTGCAGTGGAAAAAGTGACTTTCTATAATTTTAACCTAAGGCTCTAATATTAAAATCTTTATTTTCGTGCATTTTATACTTTGTTTTACTTTCGAAGTTTGTATTACGTACTGATATGTACTCTGTTATAATATAATAATTTTTTTGTAATACAATATTGTTTGCAGCTATACTCATGCATATTTAATATTCACAGAGTATTTTCTTCATACTAGACTTTTACCGAAAAGTCTTTACTTTCTAAGATAAAATGAATTTCACCCAAAATTTAATTTATTTTTTTCTTATATTATGTTATGTAAATTTATTTGTAACTTGTGATAATAATTTTCCTTCACCCAAAGCTGCTCAAGCTGTTTCGTTAGTTAATAATAAGTTGTATTTTTGGGGTGGAATTAATGCAACAAATGACACGAACGAAGCATGGTATCTTGATTTATCAAGTTCATTTAATACAATTGCGCCTCCATGGCGTATAGATCAAGGATTGCCTGTAGCAATTAGTTATACTTCTGCATGTGTTAGTCCTATCGATAATTCTACAGTTTTTTTAATCGGTGGAAAAATGTCCTCTGTCAAAAATACGACAGATTTCTTCTATCCTTCAGAAGTATATGTATTCGATTCTAAAACTTCATATTGGAGAGAACCAAATGTTATTAATTTCAATAATTCTTTTGCGACACGTTACTTTATGCAGTCAGTTATTAATAATGATGGGAAAATATTCATGTTTGGAGGAAGGAATAGTAACCGTAGTAGTAATAATGCTACTGAAACAGTTACCTGGTATAATGATATGCACATGCTTGATACAACTACTATGAAATGGTCTACATTGAGTATATCCCAAAATGTTCCTCTTCGTTGTATTAATTATGCTGCTGTATTATTACCAACTGCTGAAATAATTTATATTGGTGGGTCCGAATTGCCACCATTAAGCATTTCACGTCTAGTCGATATAAAAGCCGTATGGCTCAAATAATATATTCTGTGCATTTGTTTTTTTTTTTTGTACTTTTTGATGGTTGATTTTCTTTTAATTAACCAATTACATAGGTTCGATTATTCAACACGAATTCATTCACCTGGTCAACAAAAGTATGTATGAAGTACATTTCTATAATATTTGATAATATCGAACTAATTTTTATTATTTTAGCAAACTACTGGCCCAAATATTGACAATCGATTAGGCCATACTGCAGTTCTAAGTACATATCAATATACAACATATTAATAAAAAAATCATATAACAATTTTAAATAAATATAAATTATATTTTATTAGCTCTAAACGGGAGTATTATAGTTTATGGAGGTTCGACAGATAATTTAACGCAAGTGATTCCAGATTTAGCAGTATTAAATATAAATACTTGGGAATGGTCTATTCCGAATGTTTCTCCGAATAACGCTCCTCCATTACTCGCACTTCATTCTGCAGCAATATATCAAAATTATATGATCGTTGCATTTGGTAATTACTATATCATCATTATAATTATTTTTTATTATCAAAACGAATGATGAATTATTCTATATTTATACATTTAGGCTTGATTATATCCTCATTAAGCCCGGCAATAATTGCAGATCTTTATATTCTCGATATAAGAAACTACAACTGGGTTACTACAGCAACCATAAACAAACTTGGACCAACTTCTGCTTCAACTCCAATTCCAACTAAAACCGAAATTCCGAGTTCGCCTGCATCTGCATTAATTATTGGAATTGCTACTAGTGTAGCTGGTATTATTCTAATTGGATCTGTAATTGCTGGAATATTTATACATAAAAGACGACAAGAACGTCGTTATTCTATTGCAACGCCTGGAAGCATCAACTTAGATATATAATAATTATAACCTCATTTAATTTATAGGTATGCTTATATTTCATATTATTGAATAATTAAAATATGATATCTCCTTTTTATTATAAGTCTGGATTTATTCTACCTTAATAATTTCATAATAAATATTAAGACCCCATAAAATTGTTTTTTTAATAAGATCTCGATAATACTATAATATATATTAATTTCTCGATATTCTGTATCACTTTTACTAAAACG